TATCGCTTAGGGATGATTCAATGCATATCTAAAGCGTTTAGAATGACTCACGGTGACCTCATGAATATTAATCCAGTGCTGCTATCCTCCCAAAAAAGTCTATGATCAATTCCCTGACCCAACAGGGATGGGAAGCTTGGTGAGCGTTGGGGACGGGATCGAGCAACTGACCACGCGTGTCGCAGTGTACTCCTAACCACTGCGCCATACACGCGGTCAACTGTTGACAATTCATTTTACAAAGAGTTCTTTAAGGGAACCATACGAATCCAAGATCTCTCGTCATCATGAACTTACAAGCAGATCCATTGTGCAGAAAAGAAACCCCACCTCGGGTCGCACATTGTTCAGCTAGTTGTAAATATACATTTTTCTTCTTTTAACCCATTTGGGATAGTGGGCCCACGGCATCTGCACCTCTAACTGGCAACTCTGGACGGTCTGCTCCGCTTCGTCTTCATCTCTAGTCCCCAGCGTGCTGCGTCCAAAAATGGCACGCCGGGGTTATAGACGCAGAGGAGGTGGAGCAGACCACCTAAGAGTCACCTGTTAGAGGTGCAGAGGTCCTGGGTCCAAGGTCCCGAAGGAGTTGAGCTCAGGTAAAAAGTCCATTGGCACAATAAAACTCCAAAAAACTGCAAAGTTCTGTAAATCTTTACTTTTATGATACGATACGGAACAATAGGATGCCGACATAGAATCCGATAATTGCCATTGAAGAAAGTCCTAACTTCTTAGCGAGCCGGTGCATCTATCATTCAAATTAACTTACTCTATCGAATCCTCCAGTCATAACAAGCAATGGGTGATTCCAAAAAGAGTTTAAATAGACCCGAACAAAATAGCGAGAACTTAACAAAGACTGTTTTACGGCGTTCTATTTCAGGGATTCTTGGCTGGCTGTGATCTTATAAAGAAAGCATCAGGCATGAAACAAACAACGACAGTGATGAGATTACCAAACGATAATGACATATCTTTGAAATAAAACTAGCAGGCAATAGCTCGAAGCTAGTCTTGAATGAACATTAAAACTCTTAGAACAACAAGAATCTTAGAAGCAAACCGGATCAGTTAAGAAAGCCATAATTGAAAATAAAAGAGGATAAGGCTCATGATTTGACTTTTTTCACCAGAATGTAAGCATCTTTTGGCTCCACATGCTTGTAGTAATTCTCCGCAATTCCAACCTAAATTGAATGAAATGTACCGAATATCCACATATTATTCCAAAATGAAATATATTACTAACCCTTTCGGTACCGTGGACCCACCTCCTTTGCACCTCTCGTACCCAACGTGGAAACGCAATAAATGCATTACTGCATTATTTCAATCGTATTATTGCTATTACTCTCCTACATCAAATCATACTTAGGTATATTATGTTGTAATATACCCGATAATGCAGAGGGGTGTGCAAAAACAGGAGAGATTCGAACCCACATTTCACTCCGTTCGGGAGCGCGCGCTGAATCGCTGCACTACCGACGCCCGTTTTGACGCCACTCTTTCTATTCTACAACGCGTAACATCCTAACACCGCAAGTGGAGCTCAAATAAAATGAATTCTGAATGATTTTTAATAGCCAATATTTGTCAGCATAAGTGGGTTCAATGTCGATAACGACTACCCACGTCAGACCGTTGACGGTTGGCTGTAGACAACTAACGTGTTGTAACGTAGAAAGAAAGCTGTCCAAACGGGCGTCAGTAGTGCAACGGTTCAGCATACGTTCCCGGATAGAGTGAAATGTTGGTTCGAATCCCAACTGACGCAAACGTTCTTGCACACCACTCTACATTATTGGGTATATTTTAGGATTCTAACACCGCAAGTGGCGGTCAATTAAAATGAACTCTGGTTGATTATAATATGTTGTTATAAGTACGGGGATAACAGCAATAATACAATTGAAATAGTACAACAATGCATTCAATGCGTTCCCACGTTGGGGACTAGAGATGCAGAGGAAGTGGGTCCAAGGTTCCGAAAGGGTTAAAGACAAACCCACAAATTACAAGAAGAGGATGAATGATAGGTATGACTGGTGAACTACTACGGCCTTTGATGTCTTTGAACACAATTATTGGTGTTACATATTTTGAAAAAACCACATCTCTTCAACCTTGCTTTCAAAAAAGGACAAAGCTACTAGATGCTGATCAATCCCTGATGGATGCGCCAATCATTCATGCTCGTCAAGCATTTTTGGAAGTAATTGAGAGTGTAAATCTAGCCTTTGCAATGACTCGTGATGGCCCGCGGATGTATCAAGTCAATGGTGCTATCCTCCTAGACAAGACTGACATCACGTAACAGACCCCAAAGCGATCGAAAGTTTGGTGAGACGGGGGGCGGGATTGAACCATCGACCATCGACTGGTCAAACATGTGCGTTCTGCAGAACACCTCCAGTCACTCCGCGCGATAAGGGCAAACCACGGCATCCTCAGTCACAATCCTTTCTTTGACGACGAAGATAATTTAACGAAGATGTTATGAGAACTTCATTCTGCTAAAACTTCGACGTCCTTACTTCTTCAGAGCCGATGATTCGAGTCGATCGCCCTCTCTGTGTCAGGCAAGCGAATCAAATCATCGGCTCTGAATAAAACAAAGAAGTCGATAAGTTACCTGAATAAAGTTCCTTCAACAACTTTGTGATATTAGACTGATTATCAAAGAAACAATTACTTTTACACCATAAATTCACTTCGTGTATGGATCTGATTCAACCTTTTAAGGACGATAGCAGAAATCGCAAGCGGCACGCAATTTTCGTGATTTGATTAGGGAGTTTCCTTTTGTTCTGAGGAAAAAATCTGTTTCTCATATTCCTTCAAGGCTTCATGCTTTTGGTAATTTGGTGACAATATAGTGCAGAATGGATTTACGAAGCGAAATCGCATTCCGACCAAACCTGTCAAAGGTTGGTGGCTGATAGCTAACACTGAGATTTTGAAGAAGGAGTGGTCGGGCAAATGTGCCTCGGTGGTGTCGTGGTTAGAGCATGCGTACCCGAATAGGATGAAACGCGGGTTCGATTCTCGCCTGAGGCCGCGTTTTTGCTCACCACTGAGTTCTCTTAGGTATATAAAAAAACATCATAACAATGCGAAATGCATTGAAATGCTATTGACTCCGAGTATATAGTGCAGGAAAAATTGATGATCTATGTAACGACTACTAACAAATCCGCTGTGAAGTTCAAGCGCAAGGTTACCTATACCAAGTAAAACCTAATAAATTATACGTTGCCACAGTGCACTATGAAAGCCTTTCCAGAGAGCGAGCCTATTGATAGAATAGCCGTTTTTCAAGCCTTGAATGACTCCTTAACTTCTAATGAAAGGACAAGCAAAGACGAGAGCCGAGCATATAATACACGTTAAGGAGGGAAGTAATCTTCTTCTCACTGCTGTAGAGCACTATGAAGTTGATTCTCAGAAACCAAGTAGGTTATTGGAATCGCTTTTTCACGAACTATTGAATGACTGCTTAAGAGTCTAATGAAGAAGCTTCGTCGGATGAAAAAGATTTCTAGATAATAGTCTGTTCAGAACAACACACGCGATTGCCAGAGTGTTGACAATCTCAACCATCCTATATAAAGGTATGAAGTTGTAGATGTGCCAAAAACGTATGAATATGGAGGCCCGATGGAAATTGCCACATCGATAACAATTCGGGAGTAGCACAATGAACATCAACACCATCACTAATAAACTGAGTAAACAAACAGTTTTACTTCCTAGTGAAGCATTTAGTATTAATGTATTTAGGTGGGGGAACTAGAATAGAATTTGTGAATTAGAGTCAATATAGGGGGTGTAAGGGTATGGAAACTTGTTTAATCGCACTACAAATGGTTGTGTTCCGTTATGAGGAGGCAAATGAAAGACTGACCTTATTTGTTGGACAGGAACTTTCTATAGAAGTGTTGGTAACCATTCGAAGGCTGAGACATGATGCTACAGCCCTATGTCACCTGTTTTCGAAAAAAGCCTTTTTTGACGTTGTTACAGAAGGAGATTCCTCGCATTGCAGGCGCGCTAATTTCTCGTCAGGCAGAGGTCTTTCTTTGGTCTAATAGTAAACATTCGATAGCGTGATCGTTTCTTAGTCGAACAATGTGCTTATATCCTCGAAAGACCGTTTCTCTGCAACGCAGCAGGTAAAATAAGTTAAATTCGCAACTGATAGTTCAAAGAAAGAGTTCTGTTCGGCGAGGAATATGCGTTAGTTTTGTGTGGATCTTACAGCGTTATAAAAGGGTGTTTTGAAAAACCGACGACGCGGGGCGATAGACTGAAATCTCAGCTTCCGAATGGCTACTAACACTCCTAAAAAAAGTTCCTGTGGAGCGAATGCGGTCGGTTTTTCACTTGTCCCTCTGACAAAATTAAACCTTAAAAATTTCACTGACAAAAAATAGAGAACAGCAGAACTCGTACCTGCTCGAAACCACGATTTTTATAGAAGTTCAGAGCGTTCTCGTTGCTGGTCTGTACGTGCAAGAAGATGTTCTCCAACGTCGAGTCCTTGGCCGTTAACGAGAAGACATAGTTCAGCAGCATATTGCCAACGCCTAGTTGCCGATAGGGTGCCAGCGTGCCGAGGGTCATGATGTAGAGTGATCGTTTCCCCTCGTACTCGTCGATCCGACAACAGACGGCTCCGACAACGATATCGTTCACGTAGGCGAGCTTCGACATTTCCCCATCAGCTACCACATTCGCATAGAATTTGGCATTATAGGGAACTGGAAGGATACAGGAATTCAGAGCACGTAGCTGCTTGATGTTATGGACCGTCACGTCGCCCAACTCCATGTCACATCGACCAGCGATTCGCTTCTTCCGTCGGCCACTGATCGTCAACGCATTCATCTCCACCACTGGGTCGACAGCCGGACCCATCCTCCCTCTGAAAGAACAACGAAAAGACTTTGGACGACGATGAAGAGACTACGGGCATAAAGATATCGAAAACTTAAAACCTTAGGCGAGAGTTGAACCCGCGTCTCACCCATACCGAGGACGCGTTCTGTCACTGGACCACCGAGGTCACCGCTCTGCTACCACCCCTTCCTTCAGATGAAAACTAACAAAACTGTCAGCAGTCAACTTCTCCGAGGGCGACTGATCGCAGCACAGGTGCCTCGGTAGTGTAAGGTGGTGAGCCCGTAAGAGTTGAGCCGCGGGTTCAACTCCTACCTGAGGTTCTGAGTTTTGTTGCACATCACTTAAATAGTTATGACGTCATGAAACTGCTACATAAGAGGTAGAATGAAGAATCCATGGATATTATACGGACACACACTTGTAATGAGAGGCAACATTTTTGCTCACGAAAAAGTGACAGCTCAATAAGAACACAAGATAGTCACAATTATCCACTAAGACCTCAAACTTGGGTAAATCAACAATTATTCACATTAAAGTATTAAATGAGCGATTGACTTAAATCTATGAAATACACTTCAAAATGAGTGAAAATAAAGAAACAGACATTAGCTGATTGACTGAACACCCTCCTATTTCAACTGCGAACGTCATTCTGAACACGATAATAGTAATTTCATGGACTGTCCTATACTTTTTCCCCTCAAAATCGATGTGTAAAAGTCCGGAAATCTACGAAAAAGATCAAACTTGGGAAAAAACCAGTTCTACACCTAATGAAGCCGCTCTGAAGAAGGAGAAATTGCTCAAGCACCAATCACCGATCTCAGAGGAGAAGATAGCTCCTCTCGTGTAAGCTTTACGAAAAAAAAAAGACAGTTGGTGGTATATTTTTCAAATTTAATTTTCTCATGCTGAGATAAACGCTTTCGAGACCGTGGACCCATGGCCTCTGCATCTCTAACTGGCAGCTCCGGGCAGTCTGCGACACCGTCTCTACGTCTCTAACTCCCAGCCTGATATTGTTAGAAGCAGTAGCGCGTCTTACTAGACGCACCAAGCTTGAGGTTAGAGATAAAGAGGAGATGGGGCAAACCGTCCAGAGTTGCCAGTTAGAGATGCAGAGGCCGTGGGTCCACGGTCGTTGAAGGGTCAAGTGAAAATCGGCCTTTCAGCAAACTCGAATGTATGAAAGAATCTTGGGAAAAAACGCGAACAACTGCTGGTTAGGTAGTTTCAAGGATGATATCTTGAATGAAAACAAATTCAAAATGTTCGAGACCTGTGAAAAATCTTCAGATTCAATGGAAGGGTGCCATGGGGGTGGGGTTATCTGTGGGGTTATCTAGTCTTGGGTTATCTACGACCTATGCTGGATTGAAACTCGCTTAGCAATTAGAAGATCTTTTAAGTGGGAGATAACCCTTGTCAATCAGCTCGAAAACCATCGTGGAAAAGGTGAAGGGCCCTCGCTACTTGACGGAGAGATACACCGTTCAGCTTCCGCGCTCCACTCAATATCGAGTCAGGCCATCGTTGTCACTGGTCCACTTTTGATTGATTAGAGCACGGTGTGAGAGCCACAAGGTTAACCCCTTGTGGACTACGGTGGTGGTACACGATTCACCTTGGCTTCCAAACTTCTCAGATCTCTTCAAATATCTCGATGGCCGTGTCAACGACTAGTAACTGCGGTTTTTTAGAGCCTTTTCTGTACGAATGAGCGCATGTGGCGCAGTGGTTAGAGGTGCTCTGCGTCACACACGAGGTCAATGGTTCGATCTCGCGCTCATGGCTCACCAAGCCATCCATCCCTCCGGGGTCGGTAAATTGGTACCAGACAGGTCTCAGACTTGTCTGGGAGGATAAGCAGCACTGACTCGGCTCAGCGGGAGGCCACCGCGAGTCATTGTAAAGGCCAGAATGCATTCAATCACTTCAAACGAAGTTAAAAATTAAAGTCCAATGCATGGCGCATCTCTCAGGGATTGATCTACGCCGAGAGCTTTATCCTTTTTTATCCTTTATCTCTGTACGAAGTTTGTTCTTGTAGATTTTGGTGATGGAAAGCTGGCGAGCTCATTTAAACCCCGAGTATTTTTCTCCGGAGAAGAAGGATTTCTATAGATTCTTCCCGTACAGGGACGTGAATGCTATTCGGGAGAAGAAACAGGTAAGGTCACCCTCCCCCCCCCCGATATTTCTTCTGATTTTTGTGTGGCCGTAACTCATCGTGAAGCTCACCGATCTCTACCTAGAATTCCTTCTATCTGACCGCCACTTGCGGTGATATGATCTTGCAATACACCCATTAATGTGGAGTGCTGTGCAAAAACATTTGCGTCATCCGGGATTTGAACCCAGATCTCGCTCTTTCCGGGAGCGTATGCTAACCGTTGTACCACCGACGCTCGTTTCCCACTCCACTCTAATTGAGAGTCAAATAACATAATAAAGTCAAAGAGTCAAATAAAATAATATGAGTCAAATAAGATAATTTGCGGTCTCAAAAGTCTAAATAAATCTGGTTTATATGTTAGACGGCGGGAATTTTCCATAGGAGTGTTAGTAATCATTCGAAAGGTTGAATCTCTGGCTACAGCAGACGTGGTTGGTTTATCAAAACACCATTTTATAGCGCTGTAAAATCCAGTATAAGATTATGTTCCACATGATTACGCTTTTTTATTTCTCATCTCGCTTATATAGTTTGCTGGACAAAGCTCCTTCCTTAGGGTGCTGGTACTCATTCGATAGCACAAGTTTCGGTGGACTCAAAAATGTGTTCAATTTTTGTAAAAGTTCTTTTGATAGCGCTGTAGGAATAAGAAAAGATTTGTGCCTGAACCTCTCCGGACAGGGCCTTTTTTAGACTATTAATTATCATTCGATATCGTAAGTTCCAGTGATTCCAGCGTTGTGCTTATTTTCTGGAAATACCGTTTAGCAGAGAAAATCGATCGAGTTTTACATTTTTTCGAAGACCTTGTTTACCGGCCAACTCAGGAAGCGGGGATGGGGTAGGGCAGGGGCGGGGCGATCGATTGCGTTTGAACTATTGGCGTTCAGTTGTGCTTCTTTTCAGCGTATCGACAGAAACGTCGGGTAAAACGTATGATTTTGATACTACGGAATGTTCCGTACACGCTTATATGCTTTTCGTCCTTCCAGGGAATTATACGCGTATTGGAATGAGGGCGCACGGCGGGTATCAAGCATTATTTTCCTTTCTGGATTCTACAGCCTTATAAAGGGGTGTTGAAAAAAACCGACGACGTCGAGTTGTAGCCAGAGATTCAAGCTTTCGAATGCTTACTAACGCTTCTGTGAAAACTTTCATTTCGAGTGTTTTCCTTAAGACCACAGCTCAAAATTTAATATGCCTTACAATCATTTTGAGCCACGCATGTCAGTGGTCTGTTAAAGGAGGGCTGACTTATGGAGCCCGATACACGTGTTTCGATCTTGCGATCTCGTCAGTCGCGCAGTAACCCTTTCTCGTCTTTTGCCAATCCTGTGTAGGTGCTCCAGTCCTCACAGTAAGAGTTAGCGACGACGAACGCTTTACCACTCTATGTCCAGTGAAGAACTCAATGAACACAAAGTGTTGTACACTCGATTTCTATAAGTCAGCCCTCCTTCAACAGACCACTGACATGCGTGGCTCAAAAATGATTGCAAGGCTTCTGTGAAAAGTTCCTGTCCAGCGAAGAAGATCGGCTTATAAATTTGTCGCCGTTGAACTGATAAGTACCTTTTTTATTATTCAGTTCATCTCACAGTGCATTTTTCACTGTGCGGATCCCAGTATAATCTCGAGGATAACCTATGCTGTGGCGTTCCATAGGGCATTGTTGTTGCCTGCCGGAGGGTTGGGAGGTGGAGCTAGGCTTCAAGCGCGCCGCTACGAGCATCACAACCCCTCGGCTAAACATGTATTTGAAACAGCCACATTTTATATCTATGTATCTTGAGAAACATTTACATTTCCCATCACTTTATTTGACGTGTCACAGTTTATTTGCGGATCCCAGCACTTCTAGCATTCGAATCGTCCGCGCTTGTTTGAGGATATCATCTTTTAAATCACGTGTTAAAGGTTGGTGGCTGATAGCTAACATAGAGATGTTGAAGAATGAGTGGTCGGGCAAATGTGCCTCGGTGTGTATTGGTAGAGCACGCGTCCCCGGATAGGATGAAACGCGGGTTCGATTCCCGCTGGAGGCCGTGTTTTTGCTCACCACTCAATTCTCTTGATGGCATATTTTTTTACGAACGTCGTATAATACTGGTCGAGTAGGTCTCCTTGCAAACTCAAGGATAGCCTGGCTAGGGCGTTCCGTAGGGCATCCGATGTTGATTGCTGGAGAGTGTTGGGTGGGGGTGGGATCTTCTCAGCGTCGAACTGCGATGAGCATCACTAGCCACTCGGCTTCAGCGCCATCATATTATATTGATCATCAAATGTATATATGTCATTCTGTGTATAGCTAATGGTTTTTTATTACTTATACACTCATTTCATGTTTCATTTTGTTTTATATAGTTTTATATGTTGAATATATTTATAATACAAATTGATATTTCTATATGATTCATAGGGGCAACGTGGCCGAGTGGATGTGATGCTCGTCGCGGCGCGCGTGGAGCCGAGCTCCACCCCCAGCCCTCTCCGGCAGTCAGCACCAACACCCTATGGTTCACCACAGCCAAGCTATCCTCGAGACTTCAATGAGACTCGCTCAACCAGTATTTTACGGCGTTCAAGAAGAAGACGAATGGCGAATTGAGTGCTAGAAACACTGCGATCGGCACAGTGAAAAGAACACTATGAAGATGAATCAGTAGAGTTTCAAAAAATAGTAGACATGCATATAAGTTCGATTTTCACTTGTTTTTTTATTGTATGTAAACTCCTAAGCATTTAGACAGCTTGGAATGTGGCCAAACCTGGACCAGAACTCGATATACTTTTCATTTTACTGATTGCGCTATTGGTTCTCAGTGTCCAATCCGCGCTGGCAGTCGGCAGCTATTCAGGTGAGATTTTTCCCATCAGTTTCGCTCGTAGGCTGGATCGTTCTCGGTCTCTTTTGTTTATAAGTCGATTACTTCCGCGGACCCAAGCTGGGCGTGTCCACCAGTGCGGAAGCCACCTGCTGT